ACGAGGATTTATGATCATCCCAGATTTACTGATAATCTCGAAACCTTTTTACAAAAGAATATACGTAGCATAGTCGGTTGTATTGGCAGATTTAAAGTTTAGTTAATCGACAATCCCACTATAAAATGAGACGTTGGAGAGGTCTGGTCGTCTTAGCAACTCGCTCTGATCTACTCTGGTTCAATTTATTTTGGGGGTGCTGATGAGCTCAGTTCATGCGAAGTCGAAACTGCAATCCAACCTGCATGTTAATACCCTTTTTAAAGCAGAGCTTTGTAAAATTATATGGAATCATGGGGGAAAATCCGACTATTAGTCACCGTATGCGACCTACTATCGCAATCGACTATGTAACTTATTTCGATGTTAGTATTTTACGAGACTATTAGTAATTCTTTAATGAAAACGTAGTCACGCTGGGTAGGTTAAGGCGATTCAAGGTCTGATATTTGTATTTTCCCTTAATCATGAATAATTGCTAGTCTCGAGGCTCTGTATGTCGCCTCTCTCCTGTGACCCACTGGAATATGTGGCTGTGATGGAATGATAGCATCGCCACGATAATCACTACCTGCTATCGCATCCTGTTGTGGGTGTTGATGAAATTAGTTCAGGAGTGGTCGAACCTGCAGTACAGCCTGAATGGGAACAACTTACTGTTTTTCGTCTTTGGCCATTGCCCATACATCCTTTGCGTTTAGCGCGTTCCCTGGCGCCCACTTTGGCCTGGGCCTAACGGACGGTCTGGACCTGTCAATGAGTGTCGGCCTGACGGACGGTTATGACGCCCTCGAGGACGACGTCGACGATCTAATCCACGATGCCGAGACTCCCGAGCGAGAGGCCTCTGCCGACGTCCTCGAGGCTGGCGACGAAGACGAGCTAGTCAATGACGACGACCGCGATGTCGATACGGGCCCGGACGAAATCTCGCAATTTCCCGGACTCCTCGGCCTGCGCCAGAGGGGCGGGGACACCTTCGGTACAATCGAGTCGTCTCTGCCTCTACCATTCCCTCTCCTGTCGGCCGGCCAAGCCGTGCATCCACTGCTCTCAGAGCTGGCTCCACTGCGACTGCTCTCCACACCAGCCGTCGGCAAGCACAGGCGAGCCTCGCCGACCGAGACAGAGGTACCGACGCCCACGCCCACGCCCACCCCGACGCCGACGTCAACATCGGCACTGGCCAGTTACCGCACTGCGGGCAGGCTGGAGGTGTTGTTGGCCCGGCTGCGGCGGGAGCATCGCCTCAGAATGCAGATTCTGCTGATCCAAAAAGCCGTCTGGCATGCACGTCTTGAGCGCATCTCGCTGATGCGTTTGCGTCGTCCGATGCCACGACTGGCGTCGGCCAAACTGGTGAAGACAAAGACGGACCTCACCTCGACTCGGCGGGTTGCCACAGCGACAAAGCGTAGACGAACCGGGTCAGCTGATTCGGTGTCAGGCCGTGGCTTTCCCGCCCCGACGGAGGAGGTGTCGACGAGGGCAAGAAGGAAACGAAGGCGGCTCGAGACTGCCGATGGAGCCGGAGCTGGGCCAGGCCTGACGGAGACCCTGTTGACGTCGAGATTGGCCATGATGCAGTCTGGACAAGCTGGTTGACGACCGGCTACGCCTCTCTCAGTTGCTCTGGTTGCATGCTCTCCTCTGCTCATCTCTTCGCCTGTCTCTCTTGCTTCCTCTTCACTTTATCCACTTTGTTCTTCTCTTCTCTATCGTCTTTCATTTCCCCATACCCATACCCATCCCCATCCCGCCCTCCCCCCCAAAACAGTGCAATCTCAGCTTACTCCCATTAGACATGTGATTGCCACCCGCCAACTTGCACCTTCTGTAGACGGTTTATTTTATGCTCGTTTCCTTTGCAACCGGTTGATGGCTGCTTCTGTCTCTTGATGCGCATCTCTGTTGGTCTCTTCTCGCGCCAAACTCAGCGCCATCGGAGACAGCTGAGCGGCTCGAACACCGGCCACTGGCAACGGTTAGGCATGACCGGCCTTGGTCCTTCGGTCCAGGGCTCTCTTGCTTCTTGCTTGACAATCGACTTGCTTAAACCAGGCCGGTGGTACTGCTGCAGTTTACGCTTTACTTTGACAAGTGATCTGGCCTTTGGTCCCTTTTCTCGTTTTATATCCTTCCCTCAGATTCAACCTGCAAAAGGGCTGTGCGATTGGTTACGGGAATCCATCCTGACTTGCCTTCCTTCCTTTCACCGTTTCACTTTTGTACATGCCTTCTCAACTCAAGCATTGTAAACACTCCGCCTGGCATCCCTATCGCCATCTCTTCCAGTCGCTTTGTTTTTATCCATCATTGTCTTTTTGAATATTATTTATTTTAAAAGGGCTAGCTAACACTCCTTCATACAACTTATATTGTACTTTATTTTATTCATTTCTCAGCTCTATTGGTCGGTCGTTTGGGAGAACTCAAACCGTGAGTGACTACTAAACCATCGGAAATGAGTCCTTGACTTAAGCCCCAAACCCAGGACTCGAGCCTTCTGGTCCCTTTTGTTTGATGTTCCCTATCTGGATTTTAATGCTTTGCCAAGACAGTTCAATCTGGTTCACTCGTCTCCTGGACGCCTGACCCTTATCTCAAGCATTTGCATCCGATTTTCCATTTTATCCTCCGAAACGGAAGCAGCCAAAGACACACATTTGGACTGACTTAATTTTCCTCATTGATATAAAGCTTAAGATGAAATATTGGTAGGAAGACTTAGAGGAACGCAACTAGTCCGGAGTCCATTGTCTGCATGATCAA